CGCCAACACTTCGCTCGCACCAGTTTAATACCTAAGAGCCATAACCGAATGTCCTCTGCCTCAAGATTATGTCTGTCAACAATATGGATGAGAGCACATGATTTATAACTAACTGAGGGAAACCATGTAATTTGCTAATACTAGTTACTAGAGTTTTCTATTAAGCTTATATATTACCTAGGTACCTGTTGTAAATATTTTTTATGAATGAAAAAATTTCATTCTCCATTTTGTTCCTCTTCGGTTTTATGGTCTCAGAGCTAATGCTCATGAACTGGATCAGACATTTTACTAGGGGATTCCTGCCATCGGCTGAGGGACATAGCCAGAGAAGAAAAGCAGGCCACGGCTCCAGCTCTCATACCGCCAATCAAATTGTATTGGTGATTAAGAAACTCACGCCTCCCTTATCTTCTCCCAACAATCTTCTTCGTCACTCCGAAAATCCCTCTACCACATCAGATGTCAACATCCTAAAAAACCATCAATTTTTTTTATGGCCCTAATGTTAGCCATTGTTATAACCCACCCCCCTCCGCTCTAAAATTTCTGCTAAACAATCTAAAGAATTTCGCTCAAAGCCCTTTTTTTGGCTGATAACTACCCTGTATGGAGAGCCCATAATCTCAAATCATTCACAGCAAATGGTTTTGTCAACTTCTTACAAGTTACCTTTCCTTGTCTACCAAAATTTCATCCATCCACAGATTTTACCCCCCACCTCACAACTTTCTACATTTTGGCATAGATGTCTTGGACATCCATCTAGAGACCCTTCATCATATATGACAGTCTCAACCGACACTTGATATTCCATCTGACTTATCTTTATGTAATAGTTGCAAATGTAATAAGAGTCATAGGCAACCCTTTCCATCTCGCTCTTTAAATATATATTCGCCTCAACAACTTATACATTCCAATGTATGGGGTCCATCCCCATTCTTATCAAATCAAGGTTTTTGTTATTATGCAATTTTTATTGATGATTATTCCAAGTTTTGTTGGCTCCTCCTATGAAATATAATTCTGAATTGTCCCAAATTTGTCTCCAATTTATCTGAATGATTCAAAATCAATTCCACACCACCATAAAAAATATTCAGATCTGATGGAGGGGGTTAATACATTAATAACACACTGAAACAAACATTCATTTACTATGGTATTCTTCACCAATTTTCATGTTCTTATACTCAACAAAATAGCGTTGCAGAGCGCAAACACCACCATTTAGTTGAAATCACTAGAACACTACTACATAATGCATCTCTACCCCTCAAGTTTTGGCTTGAAGCATTGCTAACAACAATATATCTCATCAATCACATGCCTTCCAAAACTACTCAATGGATTACCTCCTACGAACTTCTACACAAATAACAACCCACATACTCCTATCTCAGTGATTTTGGATGTCTTTGTTACCCTTGGTTGAAACCCAGAACTCTACATAAACTAGCCCCTCATTCAGTTCAACGAATCTTTCTTGGCTATTCATCAACTCACAAAGGTTTTAAGTGTTACAATCCTTCTACCTCCAAAATTGTTGTCTCATGCCGTGTTGTATTTTATGAAAATATTTTTCCCAAAATCCGGGTTAACCCACCTTCCTCTACAGCCCATCCCCTGTTTCTCATCCTCTCCTGCCTGTTCCAATATCCTATGCTCAGCATTACTTAGTCGAATCTCCTATCTCCACCATACGTTTCAACCCACCAAATCAACCACACTTTCCTTGCCCCACCGTAAGCCTAAACCTAAGCCTTCCCTTTCGCAGCACCTCTTGTCAGAGTGAACCGAAACAAATTAACACAGCTCCTACTCACTCTATGACTACTCAAAGCAAAACAGATACCTTAAAACCCATTCAACGCCTCAACCTACTCCATAAAATTCAGAAACAATCTGATCCCACTTCTTATTCCCAAGCCGCAAAATCTGTTGTATGGAGGAAAGCCATGAGAGAAGAATTCCGTGCTCTTCAAGCTCTAGGAATATGGTCCAACCGGTTTTGGGGTGTCGTTGGACATGCTATATCAAATATAAGTCGGATGGCTTGGTGGCATGCTACAAAGCTATGCTTGTAGCTCATGGCTTTAATCAAGAACAGGGCATTAATTACTATGAGACATTTAAGGCCCGTTTGGTGTAGCTTATTTGGTGGGGTGGCGTTTTGAAAACACACCAGACCTGTTTGGGTAAATTGAGTTTTGACAGCTTATGCTTTTTCAAAATGCTGAAAATGACATTTTCACACCCCACATATCTTGGTGCAGTGACAACTTTCTGGCTGCGATCTGAATTTTCCAAAATATAAAAATTTGTAATAGTCACTGTACCTAGCTTATCAACAAATTATTTGCCCAATTGCGAAAATGTTGACACTTCAAACTCTCTTGACGGTGGCTTTCAATTGAAAATGGCCTATTAAATAGTTTGATGTGTCCAATGCATTCTTTCATGGTACACTTAAAGAAGCAATTATATGAAGCAACCGATGGGTTTTACAGATACTCAATTTCCTCAACATGTTGCTTACTCAAGAAAGCTTTTTATGGACTCAAAACAGTCTCCGCGACAGTGGTTCTCTACCATATCCGATTTTTTTTGCTAACTCGGGATTTATATCCAACCGAGCTGATCCTCCCCTATTTATCTCACCATACTGATCACAAACTCCTCATTCTCTTATATGTTGACGACATTTTTGTGACTGGTGATTCCATGGAGGCAATTCAGACTCTCACACTTAAGCCTCCGAGAGGGTTCAAATTAAACAGTTGGGTAATGTGCGCAACTCTTAGGCATTGAAGTTTTCAGGACATATAGTCGAATACATGTGCTCGAGTCAACAATCATAACTCACTCACATACTTTAAGAGATGCTATGATAGGTTGCAAACAAGTGTCCGCTCTTCTTCCATCTATGAAAATTGACATTCCTGACAATAAAACTCTCATGGATAATTCAATGGAGTATAGAAGTGTGGTCGGTGCACTTCAATACCTCACCGTTACTCGTTCTGATGTTTCCTTGTCATCAATAAAATCTGCTACATCAACCCACCATACAACACTACAAAATTCTCAATTGTTTTCTATGTTATCTTAAGGGAACTGTCGACACTGGTATACTCATTAAATATGGGAATCTAACTCTCCAAACATTCTCGGATGCGGATTGGGAAGGTGATTCTGTGAACCGAAAATTTATTACAGGTTTTTGGTTTACTTTGGGATCGACACCCATCTCATGGACGGTGAAGAAACAGCAAACATTGCTCGGTCCTCCAAGGAGGCAGATTGTCATGCCTTGGCCGCCGCAACTGCTGATACATTATGGCGTAGACGTCTTCTTATGAAGCTTGGAGTTGATCAATCGCAACCAACCAAAATGTATTTCGACAACATTTCAGCTATGGCTCTTGCTAATAATCCAATCTTTCACGCTTAAACTAAAAACATTGAAATTGACCATTACTTCATTGGGGATCATCTCCAAATAGGCCAAATCGAAATTCATTACATTCCTACAGAATACCAACCACGTGATATCTTTATTAAAGCTCTTTCTAAGCCAAAGTTCATTTTCTTTAGATCCAAGCTTCAGATTCTCCACAAGAACCATCATCTTGAAGGGGGATCACAGCCATAACCGAATATCCCCTACCTCAAAATTATGTCTGCCAACCATATGGACGAGGGCACATGATTTATAACTAACTGAGGGCAACTATGTAATTAGCTAATATTAGCTATTAGAGTTTTCTATTTAGCTTATATATTACCTAGGCATCAGCTTTAAATATTTTTTATGAATGAAAGTTTTCCATTCTCCATTATGTTCCTCTTCAGCTTTAATATCGTTAATGGTTTTGCACGGCCCCCCTCCCTTCATTATGAATGAAAGTTTTCCATTCTCCATTACGTTCCTCTTCAGCTTTAATATCGTTAATCGTTAATGGTTTTGCACGGCCCCCCTCCCTTCATTTTCATCCTCTTTATGAAGAAAGCTTATTAGGTACGGAGTCCGTTCGCACCAGCGTGTGCGGACTCTGTGTCCGGACTCCGCGCGTAATATTCTCTCTTTTATGAACTTTATATTTGTTAGTGTTGTGCCAATTGAAGTACCGATGCTAGCCATTTTTGATTTATGATTCATTTTTTTTAATACACGAGGTGCTCTAATTTTTCTCATTTATAACTCGATTCATAACTATAATAATATATTCTAAAGCAATCATCATGATAACACTATAAGCTCAAAAAATATGCATCCAATGAACAACATCAAACATAAAATACCAAAATGAGATACATATTCAAATTAATGAAACATAATATTTAATTTTTTTTGAAAAAAACAATAATATTTTTTTAGGGATTTTAGGTCTAGTATTTCTTCTATGAAATTATTTGTGAAATTTTTCGGTCATTATACTCGACCAAAAAGGCATGCATGATTAAGTTTTTTTTTTTTTTTTTTCAAATTGTATATTACATTATTTTCTTTTTCAATTAATTATGATCACTATGGCTGAATTTTTTTGTTAGAGTGGGGCCCACTCTAAATTTTTGACGGTCCTGATCGTATCAGACCGCACGCAATAATTTTTCCTCCTAATACTTTCTGAAACAGGAAGTGATAAGGAAAAAAAAAAATAGAAGCAACAAATTAAATCCTTCACCCAACTGCAAATGTCTGATCCAAATATAAAAAAAAAAAAAGACAAAAAAGCATTTATATGTGTTTGATTTTGATTTTATTTTTATTTAATATACCATGTGCACTTGCACTGTCCAAACCCTAAGATGGTAAAAGCTTAACATGCAGAAAGCACTGCTGATAAAATATCCTTCTTTCCTGTATATATAAATATTATATTTTACTGGATGGAAAAGCACTGCAGTACTACAGAACTCGCCTGTAATAGATGTTGCTGAAAGTTACATATAAAGATTTGCAAATAAGTTTGAACAATGAAGCTTATTTGTAGGCCACCAAAACATCTTTCATCCGCTTCAGATATACTGAAAGAGAGAAGAGAGATGTCCGGAACCAAGGAGATGGCCATGAAAGGCACTGCTTATGCTCCTTCGTCAACTTGGGGTGGATTTTTATTAAAAAAACTTGGAAGGAGATCTTCCTTCTCTTCTTCATGTGAGTTTTTCCTTCTCATATCACACACGATGCACATACGCACAAGCCTGCATATTTGAACGCGTGCACGCACACACATTCACACAAGAGAAAATATTAGATTCGAAAGGAAGAGAGACACCCTGGTGCATGCTCCACAACTTATATTTTCTCCCCCACTAAAACATACCTACATACATATATATATGTATGTATGTATATATATATATATATATCTATACACATACATACATATATATATATATACATACATACATACATACATATATATACCCCCACACGAACATACATACATACATACATACAGATATATATATATTGTAAATGCAGAAAGAAAACAAAAAACAAAATCAGGTGTTATTATGTAAATATATGAGAATTGAGTGGTATGCTTTTATATGTAAATGTCCTTTTTATATATATATGCGCCACATACTAAATTCAGTTGGTTGGACATCTGCTTGTCAGTCGTAAGTCCTCTCTGGTATGAGGTTCGATTACCTCCAAATATAGGGTGTGGTACTCGTATTAAATGCGCATGAGAGATGGTCGGGGCTTAGTATCATTGCCTTCGAACATTCCTTTTTTTAAATAATATATAATAAAAATAGAAATTTCATAAATCAGATGCCCACATTCTTCTATTTTAATTAACAAAAATAGAAAGCAAAGCACTGATTTGTTTGTATTTATATATCTATCCTCTTTCTTAAAAACTTAATTAATAAGCTCATGTATTTGCAAAAAGTTGCAATTTCATAAATTCTCTTAAGAATTTGATTATATTATTATAAAAAAAATAAATTAAATATTAGTATTATAAATATGAAAATATTATTTTTTTCATTAATAGCAATTAATTATAATTGAAATTAAATATATATAAAAAAAAAGATTTTTCAGATGTAAAGTTTCAGAGAATAATGGCGATGGCCACGTCACCAACTATTTCTGCTCCCAAACGCGAGAAGGATCCGAAGAAGCGAGTAGTAATAAGCGGAATCGGCCTGGTCTCCGTTTTTGGAGATGATGTTGATGGTTTCTACGATAAGCTCCTCCGCGGAACAAATGGAGTTAAAATGATCGATCGGTTCGACACCTCGGCGCTCCCGGTCAAATTCGCCTGTCAAATCCAGGGGTTCACTTCGGAAGGGTACATTGATCGGAAGTGTGATCGGCGGCTGGACGACTGCTGGAGATATTGCCTCGTCGCCGGCAAGAAGGCGCTTCACAGCGCAAATCTGGGCCCACAACAATTGATTAATGTAAGTCCGAACTACCCTAATTTAAAATATTTATTAGACGTTTATTTACATACAAATCACTCGAAATATTAATATTTACAAATTAAACACCTAAGTAATTTTTTTTGAACTACTAAATCAATATATTTACATGTAGGAATTTTACAATTTTTTAGATTAATTTACTTCAGAGATATTTACAATCATACCCCAAAATTTTCATTTATTGACATTAGGGCTGTCAAAACGGCTCATTGTTCGCGAACAACTCGTATTCGGCTCGTTCACTAAGTTAACGAGACGAACACGAACAACACTAACAAAGATTTGTTCGTTCATGTTCGGCTCGTTTTGGCTCGAAATACTACTAATCAATTTAAATATATATCTTTGATAAGTAGTATTTTAAAAAAAGAATTAATTATCTACGAGGCTACAAAAAATTATAATCAATTAAAAGTATTAATTAAGAAAATAAAATAAAAATTATTAAATTAGATTCAAATGATGTTTTAATATAAATAATAATTTTTAAATCTTACCCCAATCATTAACATCTTATGACTACGTGATTAGTGTTGTCAAAATGACTCTATGTTCGAGAACGGCTCGTGTTCGGTTCGCTAAGCAAACATTCCGAACACGAACACATTTTTTGAGCTCGAAATATAATCTAAGCTGGGCTCGCTCGTGTTTGACTCGTTTACATTGACATGTCCAATATCTATTTTTTCATCAACTCGTAGAACAATATAAAATGGATGCATAAATTTATTTATGAAAAGATGCATTTCATTATTTAAAATTTTCTAATAATGATTTTATGTGATGTTAAAATTTTAAGTGATATTATATATATATATATATATATATATGATGATGTTGATGATGAAAGTAATTAACTGAAATATATAAGTATTTATTTCATCTTTCGTATGATTTATTGCATGGCAGACAAAATAAAAGGAGCAGGTGAGAATGTTAAATGTAACTCTCAATTGTAACCAATAAATGAACGTCACTCTGCACATGCTCTTGTACTTTTCCACAATTATGGCCTCACATAAATGCAATAGGAATTTAAATTATTTATTTATTTTTTATTTTATTTATCTAAAATAAATAGAATATAGAGACACAATTTTATACATATAAACCATAAACTACAAATTTCAAATTACATTATTAATGGAAGCTTTACATGCATACAACACAATTCTTATGTATTTACATATCTATCATTCAAAATTTCATATTTACACTTATAACCCTTTGATATAATTAGCATATTCAGAAAAAAAAAAGTTTTTAAAAGGAAAAATTATTACATGCAGAGATGTACGCGCTGTCTGATCTCGACCGTCATTACAAAAAAACTTTATTTTAGTGGGCCCCATTTTTTAAAAAAAATAAAAAATAAAAAATAAAAAAAGTTGTGACTGACGGCCGAAATCGGACAGACTCTCCGCATGGAATAATTTCTCTTTAAAAACAGAGTAATGTTGTCATTGTTTTAGGTGAAGTTATGAATCTGAGGGTATGCATGTAAATAGGAATATTTAGGTGCTAGAGATATAAACACATAAGAACTGTGAGGTATATATGTAATGCCTCATTATTAAAATGAATCTACCATATAAAGAGCATATATATATATATATATATAATACCTATGATTAAATTAATTGAAATTATATAATATGATTTTCTATAATAAAATGATGATTTGGGATTTCTTTCCAAATACAAAATTAGTAGAAAAGAAGAACAAAGAATTTAAAGGCTCAATTAGTATTCAATGAGAGGTTGAATCATGATATCATGATAAATATTTAAATTATTTAATTACTACTTAAATACATTAGAGTATAGAATAGACACAAAATATCATATAAAAAGATTATATTGGACCAAATTGATCAAATAATCGATTCAATTATTGTTTGGATCAATAATAGGTATTTTAAAATTCATGCTCTTTTAGCAAAAGAGTCCAATTTAATTATAGTAATTATAACATCCACCATATCTTTTTCGGCCATTTACATCGTACAACGAATAAATAGCTCACATAGGATCGTCATAGTACTTCATTCCCAGCCAACATTCAAGTACAAAATCAGAATGCTTTTTTTATAAAAAGGAAAAAGTAAATTTTGTAATTAGATTTGCAATATCAAAATTTTCATATTTACATTTTTTATATTTTGGTGCCGTAAATACATAAAATAATATGTATTTCATTTAATTTTAAGATATTGTGGCGGCCTTTATTTTTTAAACCAAAGAAAAAAAAAAAAAAACCTGTTTTTGTTTGAGAAGTCGATGCATCTCTTTTACGTTGTAGCAGACGCTGACAGCTAGAAAAGTTTTTGTTTTCGTGAAGTCGGATTTCTCTCTATGTTGTTCTACGAAAAGGATAATTTTTCGCCGTTTTAGATTGCAGGTGACCTTTGTTTCCGCCAATATGACTTTTAAACGAGCTTTGTTGAACTGCAAAACTCTTTCGAACGAAGTCTAAATTAATTTGAGATAAATATAATATATTCTCTATTATTTATTATTTATTTATTTATTACTATTTTCGCTCTTTTGTCTGGTTTTAGAAAGAATTGTGGGAGGTTTCTATTCATCAAATTCATTTAAACTAGATTTAATATGGCTGCATTTATTTATTTATTTATTAAAAAAAAACCTATTTTAAATTAATTCTCAAAAAAATAAAATAAAATAAAATATAGATTTTATGCTAGTTTAGACTCACCGACAGCTAGAAAAGTTTTCGTTTTGTGAAGCAACATCTGTTAGATTTCTTGCAAAGTTGTTCTGCAAAAACGATAATTTTTCGCCGTTTTAGACCACTGGTGACATTTGTTTCTGTCAATGTGATTTTCAATGGACCTTTTCCGAACGAGCAAAACACAATATTTAAATTTAATTTGAGATAAACATAACATATTTTATATTATTTATTAAATATTTTTTATTATGTGGACCTTTTTTTTCATGGTTTTAGAAAAAGAAAATGTAAATTGGATATATTCTGACACAATTTTATTTTTTTAAAAAATAATTAGATGGACAGATCAAGAATAGGAACAGTAGTGGGAGCAGGAGTGGGAGGCTACTCAATTGTCTCCACCAAGATAGAGAAAATGATCAGAAGCGGGTATCATAACCTAGGCCCATTCTTCATCCCATGCCCAATCATCAACATGGGCTCGGCTCTGCTCTCTATTGATTTTGGGCTCATGGGCCCGAGTTATGCGATTTCCACCGCTTGTGCCACGAGTAATTGTTGCTTCATCGCCGCCGCCAGTCATATAAGGAAAGGGGACGTTGACGTGATGATTGCCGGCGGGACGGAGTCTCCTATTATTCCGATGGGCGTTGCGGGCTTTTCGGCCTGCCGGGCTTTATCTCAACGCAATTTTGACCCCGAGACGGCCTCTCGTCCTTGGGATAAGGCCCGCGATGGTTTCGTCATGGGTGAAGGGTCTGGCATTCTGGTAAGTATATTATATAGCCAAGAAAAAAAAAATGTTTTTTTCTTATTAAGTTTGGATAATAATAATAATAATAATAATAATATTTTTATATTCAAAATTAAAAAATTTAAATATATTTGGTATGAAATATGATTTATGTATGCAAGAGATTACTAATTATGAAATTGATTTATTTTTTTATTATTTGAAGGTGATGGAGAGCTTAGAGCATGCAATGAAAAGGGGGGCTAATATAATAGCAGAGTATCTGGGTGGTGCAATAACCTGTGATGCCCATCATGTCACTGAACCCCGCTCAGATGTGCTCGGAGTCACCTCCTGCATCACAAGAAGCTTGGAGGACGCTGGGGTTTACCCTGATGAGGTTCTTTTCTCCCTACATAACATAAATATACACATATATCTATAGTTATTAAGGCTTCTTTTGGGGACGGCTTATCCGCTGCAGCGGCGTTTTGAAAACCCCGTATCACTGTTTGGAAACAACATTTGAGCAGCTTATCCGAAAACACAGTTGGTTTTTTACACTAAACGCAGAACGCGACTCGAACCCCTGCGGTCTTCATTTTTCATATAAGCGGCTTATCTGGATAAGCACAAGCTGCTCCAAACTCACCCTAAATGTTTTTTTCTTCTCTTTATTATATTATTATTTTATTTGATTTTAGGTGAATTATATCAATGCACATGCGACATCTACACCAATGGGAGATGTAACAGAGATGAATGCAATAAAGAAGATGTTTAAGAATACATCGGAGATTAAAATAAATGCGACCAAGGTATCTACTGTCCCTTAAGAATGCATTTAGTTATATTTAAATGATGTGATTTTAATTTACATGCAATGGATGATTAATATTTACTTAAGTTTATTAAAATAATAATAATAAATTTAGACATTGGCATAGAATTAAGTTAATAAATATCATAAAATATTATGTTAGATTTATGTATATATATATATATATTGTGGGGTATGGATGTAAATACATAAGAATTGTGTGGTATACATGTAAAATGTGGTATACATGTAGCATGTAAAATTCCCCCAAAAAATATGTAAAAAAATTGATTTATGTTTCAGTCAATGATTGGGCACTGTCTGGGGGCAGCTGGAGCATTGGAAGCCATTGCTACAATCAAAGCTATTACCACCGGCTGGCTGCATCCGACGATCAATCAATATGTATTTTATTATATCCAACATTATAATTAATTAATTTATTAATTATAATTGCTTAATTTGCTAATTAATTATAATATCTTAATAGAACTTGGAGGCAGAGGTTACCATTGACACAGTGCCGAATGTGAAGAAGAAACATGAGGTTAACGTTGGTATGTAATTTTATTTGATTTATTATAATTTTAAGTATATTAATCATTAGCCATATTTTGAAGCCATATCGAATTCCTTTGGATTTGGAGGCCATAATGCGGTGGTGGTTTTTGCTCCTTTCCGACCTTAGAAGAAGAAGCAGAAGAAGATGAAGAAGAAGACGATGAAGAAGAATTGTGACAGAGAAGATTTATTCTACGAGCTATAAAAGCTTGAAGTGATGTACTCTTTCTTCTAATGTTTACTAGTAAACTATTGTACAGATGCAGAACTACTTATGACTTTAAATCTATTAAATCTATGATATAATAGTAAATTATAAATATTCTAAAAACACTAATCTTAACAATTCTCAAAAAAGGGGAAATAAATTATATATATATATATATATATATATTGATGTGTGCTAAAAAATTCACTGTGGTTGAGTAATGAATTATCGTTTTAACATTGCACAAGAATTCAACACACAATTAGGTAAAAGAAAATAACAAATAATGAAATCAGAAGTTTTTACGTGGAAAACACGTAAAGAGAAAAAATCACGGGGCCTGACTCACAAAAGGCAATGGTTACTAGGTTTTTCAAGTTATAACATCGACTGACGGCTTTCGGTCTGTGGTGTTTAACGACGATTGATGGTGATTAACGATGGTCAATTGTCGACGACGGTCGGTGGTCGACGGCAACAGTGGTGATCGACGGCAGTTGGCAGTGATCCACGACGATCAATGGTGGTCGACAGAGATTGACAGCGGTCGAAGGGTGTCGACCACGGTCGGCAACGGTGGGGGGGGGCGCCGGCCA